CAAAAAATGTGCTGTGGCCCCAGTGGCGCCCCTACTAAGAAAAACCAGGTAATATTGAAATGATTTGGCCAATATAATAACAAAGAACAGTACTATGTTGAATTATAAGAACCGATTTCACTGTGAATGACACCTTTGGCCGGGAGCCGGGTGAGAATGGTCCAGCCGCCGCTCGGGCGCCCCCCGGTCGTCGCGTCGTGACTCTGTCCTCGCGGCGAGTCGTTCGTCGTTCGTCGCGTGCGTCTCAGGGTCGTTCCAGCAGCAGCACGAGGCGACCGTCGGGGTTCTTGCTATTGGACTGAAGCGCTTCAATGACCTGGCGGCCGCGACATCGTGACGCGAGCACGGCACGGCACGTGACACGGGCGTGGAGGTGACACGGGCGTTGAAGCAGGAGGGACGTTCATTCCGTGTCAGCTTTGGCAGAACTGTTCACTCACCAGACTTCTCACTGCTGGAACAGCCCGTTTTCCGAGACGATGGATGTTTTAAATATGTTGGTCGACGGTCGCTGTCGTACATTCAAAGCATGTCGTTCGCAGGGATCCCTTTAAACTCCTTATATTAGGATGAGAGCTCTGAGCTCAGCCCAATAAAGGATCAACAATGGTTGAAATCTTATCCACTTGTCCCGGTCGCTGTGTCGGGGAATTGAAGCTTTCAACCCAGCGCTGCCCTTCTCAACCTCAGACATTTGGCTTGGCCGCATGGCCATTCCGGCCGAATGCGGCGGACGAATCTCCGGAAGCCGCCTCCTCAAGTGGGCGGCCATCGCATTTCATGACCTGTTCCACGACACCAGCAACAGAGATAGGTTGAATGAGATGCGAACGCAGTTCCAAAGGCATGGTTTGCTTCGTCCCATCCGACCGTGGCTGTGGATGTGGTGGTTCTTGGGCACCCAACTCCAACCTTCATGAAGCACCCCTTTGGAACTCATCACCCTCCTGATATCATCACGACCGATGGCCGTTGATAGTGCAAGTCACTACAATGAAACTATACGTTCTTCCTCTTCTTTATTCTTTGTTTCTAGTAGCGATGGCCTCCAACCTAAAGAGAGACCCAAATGGCACAGCAGTGGTGACTTATTCCTCTTAGTGGTGGGAGCACCTGAGGTCAATGCCCACAGACTACAAAAGCATCCCTTAATTCCCTTGACACTGAAAAGCACAACATCCTACAACACTCCTGTAGAACGTGAGTGCAGGCTAGATATGATAGAAACGTAGAATTCCTGTTGAACACATCTTGAACGTTCTACCTTGGAGGACCTTCCCAGTGCTTGGGCTGAAACCTCCAGGGTACACCATTTAAGGAGGTCATTGGCACGTTCGCACGTCTCGTTGGGAACACCGACACGTTCGCGCTCGAACATCGAGCGAGGCTTCCGAGGCGAACCGAGGCGAAGCGAGGCGACGCCGCGAGTCAACTGGCATCATATATGCCTATATATATATATATACCATCCTCTACCCTAAACCTCCAGTCGTAACTTCTAAGAAGGTGGGACTGGGTGGGTGCCAGGAGGCTCCAAATATGCCCAAATACATTCACAGGAGGTACGACTGGAGCCCTAGGGTATACATTGAGCCCCTTCTTCCCACCTTTTTGTTGATCGGCACATCTGGCACACTACATGGAGTGCCGACAGGAAACTCATCAAAAGGACCCATCCAGAAGAGGGCGGGAGGCTGGCCGGAAAGGAACCCGATGGCCAACCAGTTTCAGCCGGCTGGCCGAAACTCCATGGTTCCCGGACGGTTCCCGGTCCTATCCACCCACCGACAAGATGAAGAGAGACCGGGGGAGCGCATCAGGGAATATGTGACATTCAATTCCCTACACCGACCCCCGTTGAGGGTACCGAGCCGGGCTTCGCTTCGGTAGCGAGGAAGCGAGGCCTGCCCAGACGCGACCCTGGGCCCGAATCCTCTGGAGGGGTTTGGGGTCCCAAATCCCTAGGGTTTTGAGGGACCAGTCGAGCTGTGAACGGAGCGTCTGGGTGGAAGCACTGTTTGGGGGCAGAAGAGAGATCGATCCTTAGTAGGGCCTCAGAGATCGACCACTCCAAAAACCACTCTGCGATGGCCTCCACCCCAGTAGCGATGGCGTCCAACCTAATAGCAAAAACAACCTAATGGCAATGGCCTCCAACCTCCTAGCAATGGCCTCCATCTACCTCAGAGATCGACCACTCCAAAACCACCTGAACCTCCACAAGCACCACCGCACCACCGCTCCAGTTCCCCCAGGCTCCGCCTGCTTCATGGGCATCGCTTCGGCGCCCAGCATCTTGTCCAACCAGCCCGGCTCAGGCCCTGCGCCCACGTAGGACACCGCGCGCAGCACGTCGCCGCTCCTCCGGACAGATCCACACGGTCGCCAGGCAGCAGGGACGATCCAGCCAGACGCCAGACGCCAAGAGTCGCTCGTTTCCGCGCAAAGGAGGTGAGGAGGTGGAAGTTCGCATTCCTCTTTCTTTTTGGGGGGGGGAAAGAGAAGGACATGGGACAATGACACGGTTTGAGGACTACAGGTCATATCATATGAAAGTCACTTATGAATCCAGACCTCTTTTTCCCTCCTCCAATCGCTTCAAGCATCGCCCCGAAAAAAGCCGCCTTCCCCCAAACCTGCGTTCGGTCAAGACCCCGCGCGGTCAAGACCCCCAGCTCCTGATCCCGAGGAGCTCCGCCTCGCCTTTGGGTTCCACCGCCTCCACCCGAATCAGCTCCGCGCTGCCGGGCAGCTCCGACGGCCGCGGAGCGGAGGTGAGTTGGAGGCCCAGCGGCAGGAAGGCGGTGAAGAACATCAAGCGATCGCCCGACTCCTGCCGTTGGGATGGCGTATACAACGCAGGTGGTTTTTTTGCTGCATGAAGGATGACATGGCGCATGATGATGGTTGCGCGAAGCATGTCATACTTTGTTTTGTTTGTGTGTAGTTTTGTTGCTTCCCCATGGGCCGTGGTAGTTTTTGCTGGTGGTCAGAAGCAAATCTGTTCTTTCTTTGGGGGGGGGAGACATGTTCAGGATGAAAGAAGTGAAGTGGATCTACTATCACGGGCAGGTTCAAGGAAGCTGCAGAACGTGGTTGTTCAACTTCCGAGCGGACAACTCTTTAGCAGCAAAAGAGAACCACGTTATACCAGGGCCTGCGGGCCAGGGGTGTCCAATTATAGCTCTTTAGAGGTTAAGGGATGTCTATGAACCACCCCAAACCCGGGGGGCCCTGGTATACAAATGTGTCTTTGAATTAGTTCTCTTCACCCTTTCTCGCCCGCACCCGCCCCTTTCCCGCGCTCGGACGTTGGTCGGTCTGTCTCGGTCCGAAGAGAGACGGCCCCGGGTCCACCGGAGCGCGGCTCAGCGCGCGCGGGTTGCGCGGCTGTTCCTCGAAGAGCGGCGTCAAGTCGCAGCCCCACATGACCTCCTCGGGAGTGACGCAGGAGATGGATGAGATGGAGAGCCAATTTGGATTTGGCGACCGGATGGGAACCGGAGAAGAAAAGGAAAAACCATCTTCTCCAGACGGAATTGAACCAAATAGGGAAATAGAACAAGCAACACCAACGAGATGATGGGCTCCTGATTCAGGCGCGACGATGTGGGGGGGGTTTGGTCATATTCGCGATGGTTTCAAGAAGAACCCAGAACTTTTCCCCGTCGAAAAACCTTGACATGAGATGACATGAGACTCCTTGAAAGACATGATAAGACATGGAAAACGAAACAACGCCACATGCCTTGGGCATCTTCGGGGCCCAGACGTCCAAAGGTCAGAATTTGGCGGTTCAAAGGCGGTGAACAAAACATCGACTGGTGCCTGCGGTGCCTGGTGTGTTGCTCAAAGTGTTGCTGTGCTGGTCATCTAAACGTCTCCAAACATGGAGCGGGTGAGCAGCTGCCAGGCGTCAGAACAAAACCCGCCCTGTGGATGATGCTGCTGTGATGCTGCTGGGACCCGCCCACAACGGCGTATTGGGCGTCTCGTCCTAGAGATCTGACATCCGCCTTTTCATGTTGGCGTTCTGCCTATCATGTCAGACCTAACCTCATTCACTTGAACCTATCAAACACCAAAAAACTCAAAAACCGCCCTTTAACCCACACCCCCCAAAAAAGAAAATACTTAGCACCATCCTGTCTCGGTTTTCCAATGGAGATCCCTTGACCCAAACAGGATCGTCCTGATCACGAAAACATCCAACCAAACACATCCACACCCCAGGGCTCCCAAGAGAGGTTAAGTCAGTGACCTGAACTAGGGCCTTACTGGGGTACCCAACTGGGATAGTTGAACTAGGGTTCTTCAACCTCTGTTGGTCCAACCGCCTTCTGAGATGGGCCAGGAACCCACCAACCAAGCCGCTCCGTTGTCCACCAAGGGCAGCGACACGCGCACGTGCGCCTCGCCCGGCAGCAGCGCCGGGCCGTCGGTCTCGCGCGCCGGCGGCAGCACGTCGATGCGCACGGGGTCGCCGGGGAGCGCGGCGTCGGGGACGAAGGAGGGCAACGAGCTGCGGCCGGGATTCTGCAGCTCCTGCAGTGCCTGCGAGGTGAGGACTGGGTGTGTGAGATGGTGTGAGATTGGGTGCTTTCCAAATTTTGTCCATGGGGTATGAGGAATAGGGTGAAAAGGGTGTTGCTAATTATACATACTTGATGTATACTTGTTAAGTGGAGATATCTTGGCTTCAATATGGCAGCCTAAGGAGGAAAGGGAATGACACAAGCCGCTAGCTTCTGCTGGAGGCTAGCCGCCAGCCAGCCCCGGGATTGGAACAAATCCCGATGTAGGTGAGAAGAACGAAACCACCATACCCATACACTCCATGGGACTGGAATATATGCCTACATTGACCCCCCAAACCACCCTAATGTAGGCATCTATTAAGCGTCTGGGATAGTAGAAGGTAAGCATCCAGCACAAAAACTCCTTGCGCAACCCCCTTCTTGGCCACCTCCTTTTGTATCTGCCACTTGGGATCGGCTCGCCAAGCTGTTGAGGCTCTCTCCCAAAGACCCTTGAGCAGAGTGCCAGAAGAGTTCGAACCCAACCCCGAACCCACGAATACCACGGCCCGGCTGGGTAATTCTGCTTCAACCACGGCTTTTTGGCTCCAGATCTCCGCACCTCTTCCAGTTGATCATTGCTCTCCCTGAGCTGCTCGAAGCTGCTCTGGCTGGCGCCCTCGGCCTCCAAGAGGCTTCGCACGGCCTCCTGCAGCTCGAGGCACTTCTGCCGCAGTTGCTCGCTCCCCACGCCTTCAAGATCCTGCGTGGCTCGGCGCCGAGCCTCCCCACGCGCAAGCCGGCGCGCTGCGACACTCCGGGCGCCGAGGAAGCCGCGCGGTGCGACCAGGGTGGACCTCTCAAACCAGAAACAAAGGGTGGTTCCAATACGGCTTGCTTGAAATCCTTTACATACCAGGACCGACACCGTTCATGACCGTCCTTGAGATCCCGAGGTCACGAAAGGGCCGAATGAACAGGTCACGTCTACCAATCCTAAAGAGGTCACTGGGAAGGTCCTGGTAGAAAATGGCTTGTTGGTTTCTGGTGGTTTGGTTTCCCAGGTGGACTCCTCATGGATTCGTGAACCGACCAAGCATCGGGCCTATTGGTGGAGGATCACTGATATATAGGTCTTCTGCTCGTCCACAGGGGGCCATTGCCATTGCCACTTCGATGATTTTTTTGGGAGTGTCATGAGTATAGACCTCCCCAGGTAGCTTGGTAGCTCACCTTCATCAACCTCCTGACTGCAAAGGGGGTCCTCTAAATCCTCTTCACCAGGGAACAAAAAAGGTGGAAGTTTGAGGGATGATCTCCACCCAAGGCCTTTCCAGCGAACTTCAGGATTGGTAAGTGACCATTGACCTGACCTTTTCAACATGACCTCAGCAACTGATGTCAAGGAGGGTCTGCGACCTTCTTCCCATCTTGATGATCCTTGCGGGAAGCAGAAGTGGCCCACCCACGGGTCCCTTTAGTCCATTTCAAAGCTCATGTTCCTTTTGCAACCCTCACATGAAGCATGTCGGTCCAACCTCATGTCAACTCCCTTCACTGCTGGTTCTTTGATCCCCCAAAATCAGCTCATGCCGCCAGCCTATAGCCTGCCCAGCTGGGCCACCGCCCTGCCTGTCCAACATCCCGCCTCCGACCCACCAGCGCACGATACAATCCCACATCGACCAACAATGCTGGAGCCAAGCAATGCCATGACTGCTATGCCTCGACCGTCGATCACTTCCCATGCGGTCATCAGCACCCATGATCATCATGATCATCAACATAATCACCCTCCTCCTGATCATATGAATGAACAATACATAGTCAATAACAATAAGACGAATCATGACAATCATGCGATAGTTAACATATACAGATTATACAACAAACAATTAATGAATATACAACAACATAAGAACATGCATCATCATGACATAAACCAACTCATAAACCATTATCAACCTAATTCATCGTCCAAGTTCATTATCAACCTGCCCTGCTTTCCTCTCCTCCAACTTGCTCAGCAGCAGCTCCGAGCGTCCTCGCTCCGCCTGCGAGGCCTCCTGCCACAGCTCCGCCGCGGCCCACCGAGGCACGTGGCCGAGACGGCGCGTGGGCGACACGAGGCCCACGAAGACCTGGACAGGGGGTCGAACCAACAACTCAGGAGTGTTGGCTCACCCCAAAAGATCCAGCAATGGCCAATGAGGTGCCAACAAGGTGGACTAAGAATTGAGGGAATCTCTTAGTCTCGCCAAATCGAACAAGATGAAGTTATGAAAACATGAAGTTAATTAAAAGCTGTTGACCGTACCGACGTCGGGGGAGTGACGTCCAACAAAATTCTTTGAGCTCTGGTCTGTCCCTACCTGTGGCCCACACAAGAATGCCAGCAGCAAGGTTGACCCCACGACACCACCTAGAGGCGGCCCCGCGCGAACCAAGCGCGGAAGCCGCGGCGCACTGTTAGGCGCACTGACCCTGCTCCGCTTCGCCATGGCGATGGAAGTCCTTCTGCTCCTGGGAGTCCTTCTGCTGCTCGCCGTGCCGGAAAATGGTGGTTTCAAGGTTTTGCAGCTCTGGGTTGGAGCACCGTCTCCCGTCTTTCTTTGTTCACCTCTTCCTGACCGCTGGTACCATGTCTACCCCCGAACCGGAGGAGTCCGGAGTCGATTTTTCCCCCCTGAGGAAGAGAGTCGATCCAGCCTGGTCTGGTTCCTGTTGGTCTATGTTCACTTCACCACCGGCCACCTTTCACCCTTTCTGTCGCGTAGTCCGTGCTTCGTGCTTCGAGGTGACCGACGTTCTCACTCTCCGTACCTCCGACCGCGTTCGGTCTGGAGGGTCGAAGATGGGCCAGTGAAATGCAGTGAACACGAGTGACGAAACCCAGTGAAGGTAGAGCTGTTCGAAGTGGTTGGATGCATTTAGTGGCACATCTGTATACATACTGAGGTTTGCTCCAATTGATGTGGGAACATATATGATCATACTGTTCGGACTTCCCCAAGATCTTGGATCTTTGAGGAAAAGTGATGCCAATTCTACTGCAATGGAAGACCTCGTCATAGTCTTGGCTTTAGATGTCTCCCTGGCGGTCCACGCTCTTTGACAGCTTAGATAGCTGCATGTTCCGCGTGCGGATGGCTGCCAGTTGATGCCAGTGTCCAGTCAGGTGGAGGGAATCTCCACGAGGTCGACCAAAGGATCGTCATGGATAGTCTATATAGATCACGTCTATTGTGAACCTCACGGGGTCCACCGGGTTGCCCCGGGCTTTTGTTTTTCAAAGAATTTTAGAGACTCCCGGGTCCAATCATGGTGCTTCCGGCCCCAATCTTCGACTCGGATGATCCATATGAGGTTCGACGTCGTCTGGCACAAGGCCCCTGAAGCACGGAAGCCCCGCCACGGAAGACCCACCAAGGGGGTTGTGACTCAGAGGACATGGGTCCGTCCCAAACATGGTGGATCGCAAGAGCCGAAGATCTGCAACCCCAAAACGACCGTATAAAGAGGTTCTTTGTCACGGTTTTCGAGCAAACGCCCGAAACCGATGTCGGTTCGAAGAAAACAGCTTTTCGGGGACATCGAGCATGGAAGATGCGAACCGATCCTCTTCACCGATCCGCGAACCGATCTTCACTCTCTTCACTCGTGTGGTACCTACAGCATGGAAACAAGGCTTCTGTCTGCGGTTTGATTGAAGGGAATCAATGCTTCGTGCTGATCCAATTCACTTAAACCGCAGATCATGATCCTCAAGAAGAAGCCGCACGATGTGTTATTTCATATCATGAAACACTTTGGAGAGCCATTGCCCATGATTTCAGTGACCCAGTGTTGAGGTCAAAAAAAAAACATGCTCTTACATTGACTCTGCCACATCGGAATCATCATAATTCCAGATCAGAAGTCCAACAGAACTCCGCCCCCGTATCGTATCGTCCGACCAGTCGGCCACACCGGACCAGATGAGATCGGCCGCCATGCGGCCGCTTGGATCAACGTAGATCCATGCGGCCCGCTCTGCTTTATATCTCAAACGCTCCATGGGAGTGCCATAGGACGCCGATCAGTTGGGGTGGTTTGGGAGGTCAATGGGGCGGTATATATGGCACTCCCATGGAGTGTATGGGCAAATGTTGTTCGCCCCGCCAAACTATGGATGGAACATCCTCTGATCCCGTTTGCCCTCCAGTTGTACATTCTGAGGTTCGGTGGGACTGGAAGGTCGACCCAGGAGGGTGGAACAGTACCGAACCTGAGCAGGTACGACTGGAGGTGTATTTTTCCAGAGCCTACATGACTTCACTTGATTTTCTAATCTCCACCTGCTTCCCCAAGCCCTATAAGACTTAAGAGCCCCGGCCAACCGCACGGCGGCCTGGCCCCGGTGCGTGGTTCTGGCGACTGGTCACTGGTCGTGATTGTTCTGATAGGAGATTCATTCAAGGGGATCATCTTCAAATCACCCAATGTGCCACGAAACCAGGTAGAGGTTCGCAACAAAGCTTGGCTATGACTCGAGACAGGAGCGCGTTTGGAAAGCGCTCGTGCTTCTGTTACTTCGTTCATGTCAGGACCCATAAAAAACATCGGTGGTTGCCCTCATTCTAGAGAAAAAAGAAGGACCTCCCCCATATATTCCACATAGATTACCTTGGACTTCCAACAGTGTTGTCAAGTTCTTGTATGCAAGTTGATCACGCTTGATCCAAATCCATCGCATCCTTAGAAGGAAACACATTGACAAGTTTGCACCACCGGTGGTTGCGAATGGGAAAACAGTGGACGCGGCTTTGCCGCATTCCTCTTGATGCTACCTGCCATTGCTTGCTCAAAAGGTTAGCTCCTCCAACATCCAAAAAGACAGGTCGTCAATCCACCCAAGAAGGTCATACAAAAACATATCAACGACCAGGACCCTCCTTCACAGGTCACCACTTGCGACTTTTAAGTCTACAAAAGCCTCCATTTCGGAGACCTGTACAGTCGGGTGCTGGTATAAATCTGAATGATCCCTCCATCAACCGAGTTGGATGGAAGTGGATGGCAGGGCCGCAGCATAAAAGGAACTCAAGTCCTCTACCAAACAGGATATATACTAGGACCCTCCTGTCGGGGTGCCCTGTCTGGAAGCCTACAGGTAGTGTGGGGTAGTCGAGCCAGGACACCCCGACAGGAGGGTCCTAGTAGATGGTCCGATTCCTCTAAGGGCAGTTGGGGGCTCCATCCCTCCCAATACAGTTCTTGAAACGATTCACGATGCCGCTGAATCAAGCAGCCCGCCTGCACTGACATTCACCTAGCTGCCCCATGGGCAGCGAGGTGCAGCTGTTTTCTCAGCTGAGGATCGTATAAATTCAGCTACGCTGGTTCTGGGTCTAGTCTGCTTGGTCTAGTCTGCTTGGTGCTGGTCTTCCACTCCCTTCGGAGCTCCGTAGGGGGCGCCAAAAAGGGTCTCTTCGTCCTCCTTCGTGCCTTCTTCGGTGGGCTTCTGGAACCTCACCTGTCTGTGTTTTGTACCACTTCGGTGAGCTTCTGGATCCGATCTTCGCTGCTGTAACCGGGGTGACGGTGCTTCGGTTTGGGGGGCGCAGCACCGTGCTCGGGCCACCTTGGCTGGAACCTCCCACCAACGGCGGTGCTTCGGCGCTGAACTGGAACATGCGACCGGCCCATCTGACGGACTTGTTGGAGCCTCCGTGCTCTCCTTCGAGACGCTCCAGCTGCGGCAAAGGCATCCGAGACTGTCCATGTTAGTGCTGCTTCACTCCCTCAATCTAAGACTCTTCTGCCAAGCTAGCGGTGGTTTCATCCAGTCCTTTCTATAGGCTATACAACTGGCAACTTTGACTGAGTCATCTGCTCGTTTCTTTGACTCCTTTGAGCACCACTTCGACCAGGCAGTTGTTGCCTGTGTGCTGTCGACATGAACATTCCTATCTTTGTACAAAGCTGACGTGGCTGTGGGTCTGGCAACATGCCGGAACCGGCAGTACAAGTGTTGAAAACAAATTATGTCCTTGTTCAAAGACTGCGGAGCTCTTGCATGTTTAACAGTTTCCAAGGGATGCAAAAGACACGTTTCATCGCCAAATGTGTCTTAAAGGTCAACCATGCTGTCTTTAGGAGTCACTGTTCAATATGTACCATGTACATCATTTCATGTCATTTCCAAACCCACATCACAGCAGCTCATCATGCAGATGTCAAGACCGCCCTCCATCTCATCATGCATTGATCGAGTCCTTTCACATCAGATCGTGCATTTCCAGCCCACAACCAGCTGAAAAAAAACACACACAAAAAACAACGAGAACCCTTCGCTACGCATTCGGGAAAAAAACACATATTAATCAAACTGTCGTCTGCCCAAACGCCCAGTGATACGAACCAACACTTCTTCCGACAGCAACCAATCAAAAGGAATGCGGCATCATGCGAGACTAGGACCTGCTGAAACACATATTTTGACCAGAGAAGAGACCTCTCCCACCACCCTCCCATCAAATCCCCTTTAGCCTTTAGTCCGCCCAAAGACGAAGACACCGACGTCCCTACAAACCCTACAAGCCCTTCAGCTCCTCCCGTTTCTCCCGGTCCTGTCACAGCAGCATCGGCGGCAGGATCCGCTCCACACGGGCCGGTCCGGCTCGTTCGCTCGCCTTCTCCGCCGTCTCGGGCGCCTCGTCCAGGTCTGGTGGGTCCTGGCGCGGAGCGTGGCAGGTCGGTCCACCCAGAGGAGGACTGCGGGGTGAAGGGGGGTGGAGGCCTTTGAAGGAGCTGCTCCAGCTGTATACTAGCTGCTTGGGTCATGTTTTCCAGGGCCATGTGCATGTTTCACGTGTGCTCGTAAGAGAGCTACTCTGAAAGGATGAGTTCGAGATGAAATCGATTCTGGCTCTGTGGGAACCTCCAAAAAGCTATTGCAGCGGAACGGAGTGGAACCAAAAGAGTGTTCAAGTGTTCAGTGAGTGTACACCTTTCGAATCCGCAAGCGGCAGGATATCTAAAAAACAGGAACCACCTTTCAACAGCAATTTTGATCACGAGACCCGCTTTTGGAGGAACTTTTGGCTAGAATCCTTGTGACTTTGATGGTCAAAGCATCTCGAACATGGCAGGATGTTGAAGCACAGCTTACGTCCCCCCCCTTGCTGTGTCCAGACGTCGACGTCTCGGCTCGCTCCTCGTCGTCGGTGGAGTAGTCCAAGGTCCCACTGTCGCTCCCCACCCGATCCGAAGCCCCGCACGGGTCGCCGTCGCGCACGCCTTGGGAGCGACGGTGGACGGCGGCGACGGTGGGCGGCGATGGGCGGCGGTTTTTTTTCGGCGCTTTCGGTCCATGCTTTCGGCGTCCAAAAGAGCGAAAGATTTCCAGGTTTACCCAGGCCTGAAGGCTTTAAGGCCAGGGCCAGGAAGCTCCAACCCTTGTGATTTACTGTAATGCCCAAAGCATGTCTGTAGCACTGGACCTGAATTAGCGCGGAGAGAAGTCCTACCTCGGCACCACAACGGACGTGTTCAAAGCTTCGCAGAAGGGTGTTCGGTCTTTTTTGATCGCATCGTTCCGACGAAGCGCCACAACAATCGGGTTCCAATGCCCTCCCCAAAGCATGTTCTGCCCACAAGAGTTGGTCGTGGCTTGGGGGGGTTCAGTTGGGTGTCTTGGAAGAGGGAGACCACCTCTTAGGAACTGGCATTACCAGCATTCACATGGAGTGGGGTGGTGTGGCTCCTCCCATCCGACCGGGGCTGTGGATGTGATGTGGTTCTTGGGCACCCCAACTCCTACCTCCAATGGGCCAGGCACCCCGACTTCCTTGTGACTCCTGTCAAACACACTTTCTTGACACCTCCGACTTGGGAACGCCTACGACTCCAGCCTACGCCTCCCGGCCCTCCGGAGACTCGGATCTCGGTCCAAAGAAGTCCCGAACAGGTGGGTGCCATCCACTTCCATTGATTCATTCTGTTGTTGCACTGGACACCTTGACATGGTGACCCGATCGAAGCTGCTTTTACTTAAGCGCCCAAAGAAAAAAGGGGCGATCCCGTGCGCCGCCATTTCGTTTGGAGCCGACCTTTCGTTGTGGTTTCGCTTTCAAGAGAAGAGCTTTTTTCTAGCAGAGCGGTTGGTTGCAAGCCTGGTGACTCACACCAGGTTATGAGCCCAAAGGTTCATGCTGGAGCATAGGCGAAGACAGGCCACCCGGCAAGAGCTCGAACAGGGCCAAAAGGAGATCCAGGCAGCAGATGCCAGGATGAAGCGGGAAGCCAAAAAGAGAGGCGAACTTCCGATCGAAGACGCTAAGGTCGGAAAGGGAGGAAGGGCAAGCTCAGCGCCTGAAGACAAAGGGCATGATGTTGGCTCCACTCGATCGCCGGCGGTCACCCTGCCATCCACCGAGGAAAGCGCCTCGGCTTCTAAGGCACCAGCAGTCTCAACTCCGAAGCCCATTGAGGATGAATCAGGTTTGCCAAAGCCGCCTGAAGAAGCACATGCCAGGACACCACAGGTTCTGGGACCGAAGGGTCATGAGAAAAGGGAGTCGCATGGTGTTGAAGTGATAGATGAGAACCAAGGTCATGAGATGATTGAAGCAGGTCCCTATGGTAGGACACCGGATTCACATGCTGTGACCATGGCTCCACTCTTCACGCCTGAACAGTTGGAATCGTTGCACCAAGTACAAGCCCAAGCTCCATGGCTTTATGCTAGGTTAGAAACACCACAAGCACCAGCATTGCAGCGGCCTTCGTTTCTTCCCTCCACTGACCGTGACTGGAGGGTGAGAAAGGAAGAAATGGACAGTAGAAGTTCTCAAGAGTTGATAGCCCATGTCCAAACTGCCGAAGCTGCAGAGAAAGAAGATCTTCTTCGCCACCTTCGACAGCTCACCTATGAGAATGGTTTGCTGAGGGATGAAGCTCAAAGAAGAATTCGAGAAGAAGTTGTGAAGCCACCAGCAGGTCTCCATGAACGACATGTTCAAACCCTGTTGGAAGAAAACCTTCGATTGCAGCAGGAGCTTCGTCGAATGTCCTCGATCCTGCCACCAGCCAAGGAAGACGACCCGATCTTTGCCACCCCGAATGGAAGCTCTGGTCGTGAAGAAGGAACTGGAGGACGGGGGAGAAAGACACAACAAAGGGTTGAAGAAAATGATGGACGAAGGTCCAGTGAAGTTGATGATTCAAAAGGTCAAGAAAGCACCGCACGCAAAGAGACAGAAGAAGAGCCAGTAAAGAACAGTGGCACTGGAAAGGGCAGAGGGTCAAAGAAGAAAGAAGTGGGAAGTGAAGAAGACAGTGTGCATCACCAGACCTTGCAGGTGATCTTGAAGGTTGTGGAAGGAATGCAGAAAATGCAGGATCGAATGTCAAAAGGATCCTCGATGGACTTGGAGAACGAGCCCGAGATGGTGAAGCACAATGTTGAGCTCCCCAAACTACCGGAATGGAATTGTGAGTCGGCGCCAATTGATTTAGCTGACTGGCTTCTGCTCCTGGCACCACTGATGGCTGACCTGACCTCAACGTCAGAAGAGTGGTGGAATTTGACCTTGGAGGAATCTCGCCAGTGGTATCAGCGCCACCTCACCAAGTCGCCCTTGGACCGGTTGACCCACCAGATATCGCCAAGTGCCAAGTTGACAACTCGCAAGTGGGCACGATTGGAGAAGCGAACGACAGCCCTACTCCTGTCTGCCATTCCAGAATCCCTTCGTGAAGAAGTTGTGTCGAGCAAAAGTTTGTCAACTTTTGGAATCCTGGTCAAAGGCATGATTGCCTACCAGCCTGGAGGCCTTTCTGAACGTCAGGCTATTTTAGCCGCCCTGGAGAATCCAATGGAGGCCACGTCAATTGGCCAAGCAGTCATGACACTTCGGAAGTGGCTGCGATGGCGGAGGCGGGCGGAGGAAGTGTGAGTTTCGATTCCCGACCCCACGATTTTGGCTCGTGGACTCAGCAAGCTGACAAAGAAGTTGGTGGTTGTTCACCCTGAGCTCAACTTCAGGCTGCAGCTTGTTCGCAGTTCGTTGATGGTTGATGCTGTCCCAAGCCATGATGCCATTTCGAAGTACAGTGAGCATCTTCTTGCTGAGCTAGAACAAATGGGGCAGCAATCCTGAAAGAAGGAGAACACCGTCGACTTGCCGAAGGTCAAGAAGTTTGAAGAGCAAGGAAAAGAAACAAAAGAAAAGAAGGAGGCCAGGGACGGTGATGACAAAGAGAAAGGGAAGTGTCGGTTCTTTTTGACGGACCAAGGATGTCGCAGGGGGAAACACTGTGGGTTCTCTCACGACCAAAAAGATGACAAGAGACGCTGCTGGGTGTGTGGTTCACCAGATCACTTTGCACCGGCCTGTACAAGACCAAAAGATTCCAAAGAAAGCCCACCGAAGCCAAAGATCGCTAAGGCAGAAAAAGAAAAAGGTGGGAAGCAGAAAGGGGAAGAAGAAGGAAGTGATGATGTTCAACCGGCCATCAAAGAGCTTCTCAAGGAAGCTAATGACATGTTGCGAGGGATGAACACCACTCCATCCCCATCCTCTGCAAGCACCTCACCATCCGCAAAAGGTGGTGACTCTCCTGAAAGAAATGAAGTGGTGGAGAAGCTCCAACAGCAGCTCAATGCCCTCCGACAGAAGGCATTCCAGTTATGCCGGCTCAAGAAGGGGGAAAGACAGGGCTTGCTGGACTCAGGGGCGACGCACCCTCTCCGCCCAAGCAAGAAAGGTGAAGACAAGTCCACCTACCGTGTGGTTCAGGTTTCGCTTGCCGATGGACAAGTTGTTGACATGCCAATCTCCCCAGGAGGTTCCATGGTGTCAGATGATGATGACATTGAGCCAATAGTTCCGATGGGATTGCTCACTGAGGCCCTTGGATGCACGGTTTCCTGGTCAAAAGATCAGCTTCAGGTCCACCACCCTCGACGGGGAAGACTTCCAGTTGACCAGAAGGATGGATGTCCTCAGCTGCCTCGTGGTGTGGCCCTTGGTTTGATTGAAGAGATTGAGCAAGTGAAGAAAGGAATCAAGTTCAAGGAAGATGACAGTTTCCACGATGAAGTACAGTGGATGAAGCACTTTGTGGAAGCCCATCCGGTGTTTCGCCGGCTTCCTGAAGAGATCAAGAATTCGCTGGTCGTGAAACCAGGTGAATGGTCCGCCCTGCCGGCCAATCGTCGGAGGAGGAAAGCGATGAAGAGAGATGGTTTTATCTGCCACTTGTACGCCGGGGAGGAGGAAGGCTTCACTCTCCAAAGGGCATGGAAGCAAGTTGGTGGAGATGAAAAGGAGTTGCTCGAAGTTGACAAGAAGAGGGGTTCCGGTCACGACATGATCCTGAACACTGGTCCCTATGCAGGTCTACTTCGAGCTGTGTGGGAAGGAAAGCTGCTCGGCCTAGTTGGAGGCCCAAACTGCAGGACAAGAAGCGTCCTTCGACATCGTCAAGTTGAATGGACGGACGCAAGACCTCTTCGAAGATGGGGGGGTGAAGAGTTTGGCATTGTGGACGCAAGTCCAGAAGAAAAGGAAAAGTTGAAAGAAGATGACCAGTTGCTGTGGAGGATGATTTTCCTAGCTGCCTTGGACACGTATTTGAGACGTGCCAGAAGAGGACTTGATGGACAGCTTGGATTCGCCCTGGAACAGCCAGCATCACCGAAAGACTATGAGGCAGCAGTGGTCTCATTTTGGGACACCCTTGAGTGGCATGATCTTCGAAAGGAGTTCGGCTGGATGGAGACGACCTTCAGTCAAAAGCCGCTTGGAGGGGCTGCAGTGAAGCCCACTACGGTTGGTGGGAACCTTGAGCTAGCTCCTGAGGAATTTTCCATCAATGGCCAGATCCATCACCACGTCCGTGGGTCATGGGACCTAGCCAGATGGCCTCCGGGGATGATGTCGATGATTGCTGAGGCTTTGATGACTCAGGTTTTGCGAAGGCCAGTCAAGCTCCGTGCACTCTCCTGGGAAGAGCACCTGCTGCTGGGCCACACACCAAGTAGAAGAGACTGCCGTGTATGCCAAGAAACGCGACAGCAATGCTCTCCACACAGAAAGGTGGAACACAAGTTGGCAGGGGTCCTGTCATTGGACACGGCTGGACCGCTGAAGCCAGCGTACGACCTAGGAGGTCTTCAGTCCCGCTACTTCTTGGTTGGGACGCTCACATGGGCACTTCCACTGGGCTTTGATGCTGACGTCCAGGGGGAGGAAGTTCAGGAAGGTGAAGATGAAGAGTTGTGGCCCTTGATTGAGGCCAATGAAGAAGAAGAAGAAGAAGCTGATCAAAAGGATGATCAAGCACCAAAAGATGACCAGGTGCCGCCAAAGGACGATCAGGTGCCACTTGGTGAACGTCGAGGAGGATTGTCGGACGCTGAAGAAGAAGCGGGCCGAGGAGTCTTCGGTGACGATGAAAGTGAAGAAGATGAAAGGGCCATTGAGGCCGAAGGAGAAGAAGATGAAGGGGCCATTGAGGCTGAAGGAAGAGAAGTTGATGCTGGGCCGCCAAAAGACTTCAAGATCGAGATCTTCAGGTTGGCATTGCCTATGCACTCAAAGAAGTCCAAGGAAGTCACAAGGACGACAATGGACATGCTGTTGAGGTTGAGGATGGACGGATACTCCGTCGCTCAGATACACTCTGATCAAGGCCATGAATATGCAGGCCATTTTCAGGACTGGACAAGGCGGCGGGGAATCATCCTCACCAAAACCGCCGGGGACGAACCCCAGTCCAACGGACGTGCAGAGGCCGCAGTGAAAGCATTGAAGACGATGGTTCGCAAGGCTTTACATCAGGCCAAAGAAACTTCGAAGTGGTGGCCATGGGCCCTAAGACACTGCAACGAGGTTCTCAGAGCAAAAAGGCTCCACCAGTCTCCTGACTTCCCGCCTTTTTTGACGGAGGTCATGGTCCGGAGGAGAAGATGGACGCGGGATGACCTGGCCCCAACAAGTGAACGGGTGAGGTATCTCTGTGAACGGGTGAGGTATCTCTGTCCGTCCCCTGAGAACCACGGACACTGGATCGTGAGGGAGGATGAAAGACCCAGGCTCACGAGGTGCTATATGAGGAGGTTGGATGACCCGCCAACTGAGGGGCATTGGATCGCCCTTGAGAAGGAAATTTTGGACGGCCTGAGCCTTCGGAGGAGGATTCGAGGTAAAACCGCCGTCAAAAGACTTCAAAAGGAGGTTGAGGATGAAGAAACAAAGGAAGAAAAGTTCCGGAACCATGTCAAAAGACTGTTGGAGGAAGAAGCACTCTTGGCGCTAGAAGATCCGCCAAGCATTGCCATCCTGACGTCACAGATGGTGGCCAAAATGAAGAGATCGTTGGCACAAGAAAGCCCAGAAGAAGAAGAAGAAGTTCTCCAAACCCGAATCGTGTCTCCGAAAGAAGTCGCAGCAGGTTGGGTGATGTGGGAGGCTCCTTCACAAGATGAAATTACATCTCTCCTCACCGACAAGCTGGCCTTGAAGCCGGTCACAAAGGGGGAGGTGAAAAGAATGGTGGAAGATGCCGAGTCAAAAGGGGTGAAAGTTGAGTTCATCCCTTCCAAGCTTGTATTCACCCGCAAGCCTGGAAAGAAGGGAGGAAAGAAGAAAGTCCGCTGGGTCGTTTGCGGAAACTTCGAAAGCAAAGATCCAAATGAAGAAAACTTCTCTGCTGGAGCTGACTCAGCTGCCCTTCGAATTATGGTTTGGGTGGCAGTGGTCTACCAGTGGGAGGGCTGTGTGGTGGACGTCAAGACAGCTTTTTTGAACGCCAAAATGTCCCAAAAAGAAGATCAACAGCTGCTTTTGGTATGCCCACCTGCCTTTTTCGTGGAGCGTGGATTGCTGGCCAAGGACACATACTATGTCCCACTCAAGGCGGTCTATGGATTCCGCCGCTCGCCACGCCTGTGGGGTGAGCACCGCGATGAAGTACTCCAAAAGATGGAGATCGAAGTTGAAGGAGAAGAAAAGCCCTTGTGCCTAGAGGCCTTGGATTCGGAGCCAAATTTGTGGAGGATTGTCGAACTCCATCATGACGAAGATGCACCAAAGCTCCGAGGGCTTTTGATGACTTATGTCGATGACATCATGATCACTGCCGAACGAAAAGTGATGTTGGCAGTCAAGGATCAGTTGCAAGCTCAGTGGACGACATCAAGTCCTGAGTACATAGCCGAAAAGCCAGTGAAGTTTTTGGGCATGGAGATCATAAAGCAGGTGAACCCGGAGACTGGTAGAGATCGATGGCTCATTTCTCAACAGTCTTACACGACAGACCTCCTTGAGCCAGAAGTGCACCAGCTCCGAGAGAAGAAGACCCCGATCTCAAAAGATCAATCGGCCATGGTGGATGATCCAAGCCCACCAACAGCGGCAGACGTCAAAGCTGCCCAAAAGACCGTAGGAGAACTCCTATGGATGGTGACGAGAACACGCCCTGACATCATGTACGGCGTCTCAAGGATGGGTTCAGCCGTCCTCAAAGGAACACAAGCAGTTCTCGAAGCCTCCAAACAGATGAAAGGCTACCTTTGGAAGACGAAAGAAGAAGGCTTGATTTTTGAAGAGGAGGCCAACACTGAACCAGTGATTCATGTGTATACTGACGCCTCCTACTCTCCAACTTCAGAGGAGAGCCATGGATGCCTGGTGGTCCTCCTGGGAAACAGCCCAATCCTGTGGCGATCTGGAAGGCAGTCGACGATTACTTTGTCAACTGCTGAAGCCGAGTTGAACGAAGTGATTGAAGGTATGGTTGCAGGAGAGTCCATAGGGGTGATTCTGGATGAGCTGTTCAAGCCCGTCGTTCGCATGGCTTGGACAGATAGCCAATCAGGAATGACGATCCTGACAGCCGAGGGCGGCAGCTGGCGGACGAGACACCTCCGCATGCGGTCTTCCTATGCGAGGCAAGTCATCCTCGACGGACTGTGGACCTTGCACCACGTGCCAGGCGAAAAGATGATTGCAGACTTGGGGACGAAGGCACTTGCAGCTCCTCGAGTCGAAACCCTCAAGAAGCAGCTCAACATGGGGCTACCTCTCAGAAACACCGAGGTGAAGAATGAAAAAGGAGAAGATGAAAGTGAATGGAATGAAGAAGGAAAAGTGAAGAAGGAAGCAAAGGAAGTGAAGGGCCAAAATGAAGAAAAGGCCAATGTGATCATTAAGTTGATCACGATCGCCGCCACACTGGCAAGCGCAAAGGCGCAGGGGGAGCATGAAGATGATGAAGAAGAGATCCTGGGATGGGAAGTTATGATGATCCTCATTCCCCTGGCTCTGATGGTGCTTCTCTTAGTTTGGTGCCTGAAGGAGGGAGTAGCACGCAGCCGAGACCAATCACCAAGTGACCAAGAGTCGGCAGTGCGAAGTCCTCCCAGGACACCACCTCGACGAGAAGCCAGACTGCGAGCCATAAGAAAGAAAGAAGGTGAAGAGGATGAAGAAGAAGTATCTCGGCCATCCCATTTGCCGAGCCCAATGAGATCACCAGGATCTGCACCACCTCATACTCCAACCCAGCTTCCAGTGACCCAAGTCACAATGTGGGGGTTTCCTTCTCCCAATGGTCGATGGCTCCAACCAGAAAGGTCACCGTCATCTCCGACGGGATGCCGCTTGGACAGCCTCAGCGAAATCAGAAGGAAGAAGAAGAGAGAGGAAGCAGAAAAGAAGCGAAGAGAAGAAGAGGAGGAGCAAAGGAACGAAGAAGAGGAATCAGCTGGGGCTGCATCATCTGCTGTGATGGCATCAGCAGACGCCCAGTCACGATTCCAACAGAAAGGAGAAAGCAGCGCACACGCAAAAGCACAAGTGAGGCCTCCGCCAATGCAGCAAGGTGAAGGCCAGGATCCAAAGATCTTGACGACCAAGTTCGGAAGAGTACATCACCGAACTATGATGTGCCCTTACTTGACCAATCCTCGGACGGGGACGGTCAAGGAAAGTCGATGGTGCGAAGAGTGCACCAGCATGATGGGAATGATGACATCTGTCACCCTGTGGACAACCAGTTGGGGTGGCATTGCACACTCGAACAGGGTGTGTCGGTTGCTTCGCGGTGAGGTCCTCCGATACACGCCCTGCTCGGCCTGTTCTGGCCAATGAAGACGAAGCAGCTTGAGCTGGAAGACCAAAAGCGGTCGAATTTTGATGAAAATGAAGAGGTTGATGACCATGGCAGCCTAGCGTCACCATGGAGGGGGAGTGTTGTTGCACTGGACACCTTGACATGGTGACCCGATCGAAGCTGCTTTTACTTAAGCGCCCAAAGAAAAAAGGGGCGATCCCGTGCGCCGCCATTTCGTTTGGAGCCGACCTTTCGTTGTGGTTTCGCTTTCAAGAGAAAAGCTTTTTTCTAGCAGAGCGGTTGGTTGCAAGCCTGGTGACTCACACCACATTCAACCCTAAGAATCCGGGACCCTTCAGCAACACATCGGGTTTGGGAACAGCCCATACAAAAAATTCAGCAGGGTAGATACAATGGGTTGAAGTCTTTCGAGACAGACCACTGCTTTTTGGGGAGTGACTGCGAATTGACCCCCTAATGATTTAATACATCATCAGGTGCTTTGGGACCGTCGTTCTGACTGCCCCCTTTTTCGAAGTCCCTCCCAAACGCGTCACGTGTCGGCCACGCCGTCAGCGCCATGTCCCGGACATGGCCTCCGTTTTCGTACCCGAACGAACCGCTTCGGTACGACTTCAGTCGGTGTGGAAAGCCTCAGCCGAAGGCCCACCCGCACACCGAGGCGCTGGAGCTCTCCTTCAGCCACCGTGCCGGCATGGGCACCGTGCCGGTGGACGGCCGTGCCGCCGGAGACGCCGGGCCGTCCGCTTCGGGAGCTGCGGGATAGCCGGAGCTGCGCGAGAGGCAAAGCTTGCGGAGGTCCTGGAGTTCGGTGATGTTCGGTGTGTTTCATGAAAGCATCGAAACAACAAGGGCCCAAACATGTGCTCTCGACCTGTTTCTTAGCCCGGCCCCCCTCTTTTTAACTGGTTTATATGTCATGTTCTTTCATTCCATATGGTCTTTGGGAGGTACCCCTAGGAACTCCCCCACTCTACCTGACCCCATCAACCCATCTCGTCCCCACCGCGACCAACGCCTCCACCATCTCTACCGGTCTCAGTCCGCGGTCACGTCGTGGCCACGTCGCTCCTCGTCCTTCAGCACCGCGTCGGGGGGGTCCGGCGGAGGCACCACCCGGCCCACGATCGGCTTCAGGTGCGGGCGCAGCACCCAGGCGGCCAAGGGCACCACGTGCTGCGCCACGGCGTCTTTCAGCAAGGACCTAAGCGCAAAAAGGGGGTGGCGGAGCGAGTGAGGTGGTGGAGAAGTGGGCGCGGTGGCATGGGGCGTGAGGGCTGGCTGGGTTGGAGGGGTTCACTGGTTGCAAGGAAGCGTACACTGTATGGGACACGCCTGAACAACAATAACAACAAGGACGACGACGACGAGGACGACAACGACAACGACCACAACATCAACAACATTACATGTTTTTTTTTGCATTGTTTGTGTTTGGCGGGGTGTTGTCGCTGGTTGGTTGCCACCAAGGGGCAGGTCCATCAACACAGGCATCTGCTCATACCAGGCATCCATCATGCCCAGCCAAAAAGCCAATTTCTGAAAGATCTCGGCCTCCACGCCGGAAGCGGCTGCCTGGAGTTGCGTTTGGCCCAGAGAGTGCGTTTGGCAAAGAAATGAATGGTTGATTCTCAGTGATGAAACGATCATACCAGGACCCTCCGACCCTCGGGGTGTCCTGGCTGGACTACCCCACACTACCTGCCGTTCGGCTTCCAGACAGGGCACCCGGAGGGTCGGAGGGTCCTGGTATCATTTCACGGTGTTATGAGAAATCCCTGTCTTGGGGATGGAGGCCTGTTGAGTGCAGGCTGCATTCGACCAAAGGTCCCCCTCTCAGACTCGCTGTGAGTGAAACCAGCGACTCTTGGGCGAACACCTGGCTCTCCCACGTCGGCCCCAAAGGAAAGAGAGACAGTCCCAGGCATAGTGTGGGGGGGGCCCGAGCCATGGACATCCAGCAAAACTAAACCAGTGTGTTCTTGCACGAATCTAAAATCATATACTGCAAAGGTATGAGTCTGTGCCATTCTACTTCGCGTAGATGAGGACCAGGCTTGAGCCCTGAGTTTTTCAGGTCCAGGGTCTCAAGTCAGTTCTCATCTCAGGTGAGATCTCAACCCGCAGACCTCCTGCTCATGAAAAACAACAAGCCGATCGACCACATGTCGAGGTCCATTAGGTCAAAAGTATGGCCAGCTGGGTCGTGGCACCTGGAGCCCCGTTCATCCTGGTGGGTGGCCGTTCGGAAGCGGAAGAACGGGGCGGTCGGTGCCACGTCACGTCACGTGGACCGCGAAAGACCGCGTTTCAAGTGGATGGGACATTCCGACATGGAAACTGCTCACGTATGACAACCTGTCTATATTTACATGGTATTAACCAATCAATTATATAATTAGCCTAAGCCTATAGAAGTCCAGTTCGACGATATTTTGACTCGTTGAAGTAAAGGAAGTTCCTGAACTCGGATCACCCAGGTGGACCATTTGATGAACAGTCTTGGACTCAGAGGGCTATATCCCAGACGCTCCATAAAACTGCCATCTATGCCGATCAGTTGGGGTGGTTTGGGGGGTCAATGTAGGTATATATGGCACTCCCATGGAGTGTATGGGTATACCAGTACTGTAAAATATACGTCAGAAATAGAATTTCTCTAATGTAGACTCACTCTTGATCAATGACCCCCCCAATTCAGATTGAAGAATGAACCTCTTCTTATGAAAGGGCTTTGTTAATCAAGAGTCCACACATGATTTTTGACATAAAAGTAAGTAAACATGTTCTGCTTGTTGACACCAGCAGACTCGACCCTCCAAACCGGCCTTGATATGCTCTTGGTACTTGGCGAAGGCCTTCCGAAAGCGCCGCCGCTTGGCGCTCGGCACCTGCGTTTCGGGCTGAACCGTTGAACCGGTCGAGGCGAACGGTTCAGAACCGGTCGCCGTTCGAACGAACTGCCCTCTTTGAAGGTCCCGAAGCCCATCGTTCGCTTGTCAGAGTCATCGTTCGCTCAAACGGACTGGTGATTTTCCGGTGAACAGATCGGGGACGTATTTCGGACTGAGTCTTGTTCTGCTGCGAAGCTGCCTACGACTTCGGACTTCGGACGGACATCTCCTCGGTCCAAGAAACCACCCGAATCCTCCCAGCGACAGATCACTTGCCTCGAGGTTTGGAGGTTTCAAGGGTCATGGTCCATGGTCTTGGAAGGGATTTGCTGGTCTGTCTGTCTCTCTGTCTGTCTCCGAGCCCACCAAAAGAGTGGATCATGGATAGATCCAGACCAGGAGATCCAGGTCACACGCAGGTGTCCCTTTACTACTGTTTATACTGCGTCACATCTGGAATTATCTGGACATCTGAAGAAGGTGTCGCTCGGTGATGGTCGGTGTCATCAGGTGTCGGTGTACTGGTATCCTTCCTTGACCAAGTTCTGCAAACCCAAACCCTATACCCAAACTGCTTGATCCTTACCCAAGAAACTGCTGGACCCTATACCAAACTATACCCCAAACTGTTTGATCCTTTCTTGACCTCTTAAGCTCTCCCTCTGTTACATGGCGGACCACGGACGCTCCGAACGACAGTGGACGGGCGCGAACCGGCTCCACCTTCTCAGGCTTCAGGGCAGCAGCGCGGGTGAGGAAGCCGACGCCCTGGGCGGCGCTGCTGTGCGAGGGACACCTGGACCCCCTGGAGACCTGGAGACGCCTGGGGATCTCCGTTGTTGGGCGAGTGCCGCGAGTGCCCATGGACACCATCAAAATCAAACGTTTTGGGGACTGAAACCGAGACTCATTGAGAACCCACCGCCCTCCACCCGGCTCGCCGCTTGCCCCAACTCTCCCACAGTCACCCTCCCTCCGGAGCTCCCTCCCTGCCTCGGACAAGAGGCACCGTGCCGCAAAGGCGTCCGGCGCGTAGTCGGTGTCGCCCACGAGCACGGCCGCCGGCTGCAGCAGCGCCGAGGCCAAGGTCGTCTCGTTGGCCTCGGAGCGTCGGCGTCGGAGGCGTCGCGCCTGCGGTGGTTGGAAGTCAGGGGCGGTGTGTTCAGAGGAACTGGAGGAGGAGGAGTGGTTTAGAGGAGCTTGCGGATCGTTTTGATGTTGCCATGGGGGGTGGATAGATGGTGATTTGGCAGAATTGGCTGCCGCTGGATCCGCAGCAACCAAAGTCCCAAGACATATATGGCATGCAAGAGAGTCTTAAAGAACGTCATTCAAACAGCATTCCAAAAGCCCCAACACCAAAACCGCCGCTGCTAGCGCCATATCTGCCGCCAACAGCCGCCCACACCAAAGGAAGCCCCTCTTTTTCCTCTGCAGGTCACCTGGCTACTCGAAACTTGAACCACGACTCACTCTGCCTTCCTCTCCCCCGCCCCTCTGGAGCTCCTCCAGCGCCATCGCCACGCAGGCTCCGCGCGGCGCGGCTGGGGCGGCCGAACTCGGCGTAGGCGTCCCAGAGGCGTCCGGGTTCGCAGTGCCCGGAGTGGAGCGGTGTCTTGGGAGGCTCCAGCAAGGGAGGCATTCCATCCATGTCCTTTTAGTCATGGGCCATGATATAGCGTTATACACTGTGTGGAGTAGCATATTGGGGTGTTAGACACGCGGAGTGTCTTTGGTAGCAGGGTGCGAGTCTAACTCATCACTGTCATATCACAACCCATCAAACTATGTTACATGAGGTTACGAGGTCGGTCTTGGCCTTTCAAATCACCCAATGAAGCGTTCCACTTCATTCCACCTCCTAGCCACATTCAAATAGACCTTGCCACAGCCACCACCCTTCTCCGTCCTTCTCCATCTCCTTCAGCTTCCTCCGACAACTCTTCGGCCACCCAGGCACTCGCCCCACCCTCGCTCCAGCACCACCGCTCCCGCCGCCGCGGACGCCCGGCGCGCAGGCGGCGCCCGGCCGCGGCAGGGGTCCCGTGCGCAGGGGCGCGCCAATGGATGGGCGCGCGGGGAGGTTCCGCGCTGCTTGGAGACCCAAGGCTCGGGCCTTCACAGGGTCATGGAGCCAGAGACTCTGTTGATGTTGAAGTTCACAACCATCCACCTTCAGATTGCTCATGTGAAATTGTCCCTCCTTTTCAGGCACGTAGCGCAACAACTGCAGAAACTCTGCATAGCGGGTGATCTTGCAAGGACTTAGGCAGGGAAGCAACGAATGCTGAACTTGCATCTCTTCCACCAGCAGTGGCAGTGCCAGTTCAGCGCAGCGTTGGGCCACTTCGCTCTGCACGCCTCCGAGCAGGAAGGTGGCAATGAGCTCCTCGTTGCAACCACCCAGGCGCTGCGTGAGTTCGGGTCCCTTTGAAACCCAGACACAAATGAATGGGTCGATCTTGGCATATCCAGATTCGACTGTTTGTTTACCCCCGTTCAAAACTTTGGGCATCCTAAATTGCCATCATATCATATCATAGAATATACGTAACGGTTTAACCAGGAAGTTATAACATAAATGATGATATCATTTTGCATGCACTCAACAGAGATTATTTCAAGAAAAACATGTTGCCGAAAGCATCATCCAGGCTCTCTTCTAACCCGCTGAGACACCGTATGCGCTGGATCCAGAAAGGCAAACTCCTTCCGAAAGCTGTTCAAGCGCTCCACCGTTGACTCAAAGTCGCGTGGTGGATCGTACTGCTCACCTGTGGGCGCCCTACATGGGGCCCGGCTGCAAAAAGGCAGGAAAGCCCTCCAAAATGAAGACTTAACCTGGACCCCAACAGTTAAGATGTTGCTTTTGCTTTATAAGATCGACGTTTAACATGTATCATCCGGATAAACTGGGATCCGAAAACCAGTCAGTGGGTGTATCAAAACCTCCCACTAGACTCACCAATCCAACATCTTCCAAGATGTTCCTCTCAAGATCCTCCACTCTTCACTCAACAACAATCACTAAAGACTAAAGACTTCTTGCATCCTCCTGCCAATTCTTTCTTGCCAAGTCACAACTTGCGTCAAACAAGCTCAAATACTTCGCGTTCACCGCCGCCAAGGCCTTCCTCCGTTCCGCTGCCTCACTGAACCCCGAACCGAGTGCCTCCAGGCGCCGATCCAGCGGCCGCCCGCCGCGGCAGCGATCGCAGTGGCAGAGGAAGCCCCAGGTGCGGTGCAACAGGTCGCGGCGGTGGTGCAGGGTGTTCAGCTGATCCACTTCATTCCTGGCAAGTGCAACTGGACATGGAAAAATATGTGCCATGAGGAAGTTAATGTTATGTTTTTTATACTAAAAACAATAGAAGAAACATGGTGTTGCTTTGGATGCGTTGAACTTGACCGATCCGGTCCACAAACACCGGTCCGAAACAGGAAGAAGACCGATCGAACGGATCGGAGTCGTTTTTTTGGGGGGTTTAGGGGTCATGGTGTGGCACGAAAACAGGGGCCGACACTGACGAACGGCCACCAGCTCCACTTGTGGCGCTGGTGGCGAAAGGCAAGAATCAGGTATGAGATGCACACCTCCTCACCCTGCTTGATCTCTTCCAGCGCATAAATGCTCAAAGTAGCTCGATACTTGGAGACTGAAGCCACACCTTCTCCTCCAGATAAATGTCCACCTGCGCTGTTGCTTGTGAGACACTGGTCGAAGCACAGGTTTTCATGGCTTTTATCGAAGCACATGCTTTTGCTCAGTGACTTGCTCAGTGCTTATCCACCAGACATGCTGAATTACTTCACTTCGACTCTCCACAGGTCCTACAGTGCTTATCCACTCCTGATGGCACCACCTGCTTGGCCAGGAAGATGCCTGTTTAACGTGTGGACCCTCCGACGATGCTTCACTGATCAGGCCCAATTCTTTTCTGTCCTGTCCACAAACACCAATGGTTCATACTTACTTATTGGGTCGCCTGGAATACACCACTAACTGCCATCAAGCGTTGAAACCCCTTCTAAAAACACGGCCAGCCGGCGGGTGCACCTGCATTGGGAAAACACGAGTGGTTGAAGCGGCTGCAACTGCGAAAGAGCATCGCTGGATACGCTCCATCATCACAAGGACGACCCGTGCGAAAGGCGTACCTACCAGCACGTGAGGATTCAGAAGTCTGCAGAGGAAGATGGGAAGTCGAAGGATCTATAGATTTGGACTGCAACTTCGTGTGAGTGGATCACAGGAAGAGGTGGGGCTCTTCTCAGAGTTGCTTAAGGAACCAAGAAAAGTACAAACAACCTTCCCGCGAAGGGGATTCACCCCATCCCATCCCATCCCATCTCCTTTGGCTCTACACAAAACATGCATGGGTCAAAGGTATTTGTCTTCGTGCGTTTGGCCTTCCTCATACACATTTCTCTCAACAAAAACATGGACTAGTGCCTGATTGTTGTAGGACCCCCTTCGCCAACTTCTGTTACTTCTCTTCCATTCTTCTTTCCACTCCATCCACAGATCTCCAAGAAACGAAGCAAAAACCTCCATCCCCAGCCCGCTCCCCTCGCTCAGCTGTCGCGCTGTCGCGCTGTCGCGCTGTCGCTGCGCGAGCTGATCCTCCGTCCCCGGCACCTCTTGGTCAACTCCAGGGGAGCCAATCCTCCGCCCGAAGCGGATCCGCCCAGCTCTGCTGCCAGTCCACTGGACACGAGCCAGTCGGCGCCCTCCTGGAAGCGGTCGGGTGGGTCCGGAGCGAGGTGGGGCCGCGAGCAGGTGGGGCCGCCTGAGTTCGTAAGTGATCAGTTCAATAACATATACACCTGGATCTTCCAACTGTGACAGTCTGCCCTATCATCCATAAAAAACAGTCAAGGTTGGCGGAAATGTTGCATAGTTAGAAGTTAGAAGATCCAGTGTATTATCAGTTCCACAACTCACGTTTATAAGTTCAAGAACTCGCACTTGATGTTACTTCGAGTTAGCAGACTGGTTGTACTTATATATATATATATAACATCATACTGAGATATGGCTAGATGGACAGGTAAGGCACCGAAGACTCAGAGGACCAGCTGCTTCGGCAGGTTCTGATGGATCTTGAAGCCCGCAACCCTCCTGCAAGTCGAACTCCTCCTCCCTGCCGCTGTCCCAAACGAAGGGCTTCTCCTGCGGCCGTCGAAACCACGTCGAAACCCCAACGTCCCAGACCGACGAGTTCAAGAACACTCGACCGTTCTTCAGAGTGGTAGCGATGGGTGGAGTCAAGCGGGCACAAGAGCTACAGAACAAAGTATACCAGGAGTCACATGTCGGGGTGGTGTTTAGTCCCCAAGTGAGTGGATAATGGGCACCCTAACCTCCATTAAGCACCCCTTTGTGACTGCTGGTATATAGGTCTAGTGAGAATCCACGATCTCAACGATCTCACGGACCCATGCCATGGAGGGTCCAACGATTCCTATAGGGCAGAATCACAAACAGAGCTACAGTTTGTGAGAATCTCTGTTCCCAGAAGAGCAACGGATAGCGATGATTGACAGGGTCACTGCTTCTTCCTGCAAACAGTGTAAAAATTAAACGCACCAAACAAAGGCATCCGAATTGCGGAAAGACATGCACACATCCAGCCGTTTCCTCCGTGTTTTTCCACTGCTTCTCCCAGCCGCCCAGCCCCGAAAGCCCATCCCTCGGCCTCCACCAGCAGCTCGCCGCGCTTCAGCAAGCCGGTCGCCACATACCCCGCCCCACGCGCCCGCTCGGCCGCTCCACCCTGGAGGCCACCGTCCGTGTGGTCTGCCACGCGCTCGCAAAGACGCAGCTGAGGATGCAGAAAGAGCAGCGACGCAGCTGACGCCGATGCGGACGCCATGGAGGCGGTGTTGGAGGGTTTCAAAAGAAGAGACTCGAAGTCTGATGACGTCTGACCTGGTCCCTGGTGGTTTTCTCCGGAAACTGGATCTCTTGCTTGGCCTACACATCGCACCAAGAAAGCCTATACGAACTAATTGCAGTAGGTCTCAATCCCTCTGGGTTTCTGGTTGCTTCTGGTCCTGAAGAGAAGGTCTGAAGCGAGAAGCCTCTTTCGGTCTTAGCCGTTCCAAGCAGGCTAACCCAACTGCTATCGTGAAAGAAGGCTTCAGTCACGAGGCTTCGCAATGGAATGGTCCCCTAAGACTAGAGGTGGTGCAATGTCCCCGCCTGCGGGTTAGATTTCAGAAGGGAGCAAAAGAAGAAAACAAGTTGGTGCAATGTGCTGCTCGAGGAGAGTGGCCACAAAAGATGCGTATTGATGAAATGAGGCCAAGCTTGTGAATGCACTTGTCAAGCCAGCTATTCTTGGGCCGAAGTTAATCAGAAGTTCCGGAAATATGATTAATCAAATCCTCTCAAGAACCTTGGCAAAAGGTTGTGAATGACCAGTAGAGAAGCGTCAGTCATCAGCATGATGAAGCCGACGCTCGGGCAGAAGCCCCTCCTTTACTCCAACAAGTCCATTGAGTTGAGGACCGTTCAAAACGAGTTTCTGTCTCCACCAGGTGTGGCGAGTGAGGAGTGGCGCAACGTAGACGTACACAGAAGGAGCAGAAGCATTCACGTGTTACCATGCCCTGGATGAATCGCATGAATCCTGCTGAAGACTCTTGCGATAACTTATGAGGCTGCTTTAAAAGGGGGCTTCTTTAACTGAGGTATACTTATAATGGCCAACACAAAGAATACTTATCAAATGGCCAAACAAAATTCTGCGGGTTTCACCAAACGAACGGTCAACAGCCCGTCTGCATGTGCGGTGGTCCAAATCCTGCGCCAACTGGAGAATGATCCCAGAAAGCACTGTAACTGCACATGAACCAGTACTTGTCGACAGTCTCACCTCTCCGCTTTGGGATTGTCAAACCTCTTCAGGCCTGGGGGTTGGAAATATCAACAGCAAAACAGAACTGCTTTGGATAGGATCTTCTTTCATCTTTCACTCCACCCCCGCGCCGGTGGCAGCTTCGCTCCAGCACTCCAAGTGGCAATCTCCCCGGTGCGCATCTGCGCGCGCAAGGGTTGCAACGAGGCGCTCGTCAAGAACCTGCCCGGACTCCGAACCGCGCACGAACGAACGGACGGTCTCCCATCAGTGGCTGTCGACTGAGTAGAGACTCCTCTCTCATTCCGACAGCCCATTGAGGAGGTTGGAATCCCGAAACACTGCAGCTGCTTGGTGGAGGATCTTACATGATTACATCCAGGTCAAGCATGTTGGTTGGCTCCTTCATTTCACGCATAGGTTGAGAATAGCTTCGATTCCTTATCATCCAGGCTTTGGGATCTTCCTCCCATGCATCATCCACCACCACCCAGGACCAGCTAACGGCACATCCAACATCCAACTTGCACCCTGAATCCGTCCGGAACTGCAATGCACGATGCATCCACCAGCACACCCACCCATGCATCCCACGCCGTCGCTACACGTGCTGCGCCTCAGGTTCTCTCGTGCCGTGTACGTGCCTCGCCAGTCGCGAGCGACGAGTGAAGGGTGCGCCAGCTGCATATCCCAGAGAGCAAGTCAACCGGCATAACTGTAGACGATGCATTAACACCACTGCTTTTGGGAATGTACTTCTTGAGGCCTTGGAGGGTTTAAAAATGTTCGAAATATCATCAACAGTCCTACATGAATTGGACAGATTGCGTTGGGAACTGGCAAGGCGCTATTGATCATTGATAGATAGCTCAAGGTCCCATCGTCTTCGCCTGGCAAACAGTTGCCTTTTTGCAAAAGAACGTCCCAATTCCAAACGCCGAGCCAGGATCCTCCTGGCTGTCTGGGTGTCCAACCTTTCCAGGACAGCAGTGTAGGCAGTGTAGTCTATGGGACACCCAAACAGGATGGCCCAGGTACATGGTTTTTCGAACAAAATGCACCCGACGAGCTCTATATACAGTATATAGGTCTCCGAAGTGGTCTCTGGTGGCTGAAAAATTCCGACGACCCATTGGGTAGCGACCTGGTGACCTGGCAGGTTGGAGGGTGCTGGTATCGGTCTTGGGTGGGAAGCCAACTCCGTAAACATGTTGCTTAAAGGATCCCTAGAAGTTCAACTCTCTTTTCGGATCACCTGAAGAAGGCCGAAGACCAAAAAATGGCCGACTGGACTCTCATCATACAGATGGATGACGAAGTTTGGTGGTCCACTTTTCCTGGGTAGGCCCTAGAAGTCCAGTTCGACTACATTTTGACCGACTGAGGTATATAAAGGATAACTATTTTTGGGTCAACTAGTCAGACCATTCTTTGTACAGTCTTTGACTCCCAGGGTAGGTGGATCATCACTCATCACTGATCATCACTGATCATCACTCATCGCTCGCCACCGGTTCTTTCAGGGAGAAAACAAAACGCGAATTCTCCCCATCAGCTCATATAGAAGATGAATACCAGTAGCTTGGACAACTTTGTAGACATCTCAAGAAAACAGGGTTTGGACAGTTTGGACTACAGTCACTTTTCCACCAGCCCAGCCTGCCCTTTTCACCGCCCATTTGTGGGTGGGTCACAAGACCGGTGCTGGGTACAGTATAGTGCGACAGTTCCTCCAAACCAACAGAGGTTGAAAGACCTTATAGGACCCTGTAGTGGTACATATGGGACGGACTATAGGGTTCTTCAACCTCTGTTGGAATGTCTTTGAATCCAATTCTCCAATCGTCACCATCGTCACCAACGTGCTCTTGAGTCGCCAGGAGTCACATGGAGTTGCCTGGCTGGCGTCCCAGTGGCTCCGGGGCTGTGATGTTCGGGGCACCCCCACTGCTACCTCCGGCAGGCACCCCTAACCTACCAACAAAGGTTGAAGAACCCTAGTTCGACTATCCCAGTTGGGTACGCCAGTTTGGTCCGGGTCACTGGCTACTTCTCTTGGTCACCGTTAGACTCCTGGTGACTCCTGGTGACTCCTGGTGACTCCTGGTGACTCCCGTCTCCGTCTCCGTCTCCACCGTCTCCGTCGTCACGTCACGGCGAGCCGAACTGCACCCGCCTTCCTCGAGCCACAGCAGCCGGCCGCTCAAGGCCTCGGAGAGTCCTGGCGGTGGGGAGAGCGGTTGGGGATCGAAGGACCCACGGTGGGGTGGTTGGGAGTGGTCCAAGCAGAGCCGGAGAGCGGTGTCAAGGATTGGAGCCATGGACGTTTCTGGGAAGTCTGTAGAGTTGGGGGGAACTTGGTATTGCGAGAGTCATGGGAGGGGAGTAAGATCCGCTGGGGCCAATGCGAGAGGGCGGAGATAGGGTTTACTTAGACTGAATAGGACAGGAAATCAGCTTTTGTTCGCAACATCTTCTGGACCGAGCGAGTGCCATCAATCCAAGGAGGGCGGAAGGTGGAGAAGGAAAGCGAAGCGCCTCGCCTCGCAGTTCTTGAAAGCCCAGCTCCAGTTGCCTCATCACAGGCCTTGGTGGTGGTGAAGGTCTGAAAACACCCAGAAGCGAAAAACGCCCCCCCAAAGATTGGCTGAAGGACTCGATCGGAGCTCTGAAATCGATCGAGAAAGACCACGAGCCCCTATAGACGTCCATGATCATTCAATCAAAGGTTGACAGATGTTGACAGTGGCTTTAGTACGTGCAAAAAAACTGGGTGGTGACAAGTGAAAACCATTTGAATTCATAAGTCATATTGGCCTGATCTGATCCCTCACAATCTGTAAGTGGGTTTGCTTCGTCTCCGGGCCGACCAGAGGGAGAAGCTCGGGAAGCTCCGACCCCCCTGCCATGGAGGGTCCAAGGATTCTTAGGGCGGGAGAAAAAAGAAGGTTTTTGGAAGAACACCATTTAAAGAAACACGCTAGCACCACCTAAAGGGCGGTTGTTGGATGCAAAATACATGGTCGGGGGAGACTCTAGAAATCCGAATTGGGTGGTGCTGGTGACTGGCTGTTGTAGCGGCTGCTCAGGAAGTTGCTTAAGATTTGGAAGTGCATATTTTGTAAATCTACACAATGGCACTAACTGCATCGACTGCAACTTCAGCACCCCCTTCCACAACAGCTATATCAGATGAAGAAAAACCCTCTAAATCCTCCAAAGTCTCTGGGTCTTCGGGCGGGCGTTTCTTCCCCCTTAACAACAAAGACACCACTTGACCTTTAAGCCACTGCTGAACACCACCACCACCACCACCGCACTGCTGAACAACATCCGTGGGAGAGGCCCGCTATCCTCCGGGCCACCGCGCTCTAGGACCTCTGGTCTGGCCAACACTCGACACTGTCCTCCGCCGAGGACGCGGTGTGTCCAGAGCACACGGCGCTGCACACGGCGCGTGGGGCTTTTCGCGTCTCGCAGGGGTCCGCCACGCGAGTTGGGCCAAGCTTCGTCGGCGGAAGTGGCGCACGGAAGGGCAAGGGGTATGTTCTGAGATGAGCCTTTTTGGGATCTTTTTCAACGTGTGACACATTTCTGCCTTTTCTTCATCCAGCTTGAATTGCTAAATGATAACCTATTGGCGTGTGGTCCAAATGTTTGTTCCCAGAAACGATGCTAAAGACTCATTTAGATGCGGGCCCGCTGTTTGGCGTAATGGTTTGTGGATAAAGTGCAAACTGATCAGAAAACATAGATCATGTCAAGATTTCGTGCAAAACACACTAGCGCGGCACTTCTGCGCTCTTTTTATTCATTCGTCTGACTAATCTAACTTCGGTGACCAGGACTTCTGGTCGCGTGCCCTATATTTAACTCACTAAATCAGCCAAGGTTGGCAGAGTTGGAAGATCTTGGGCTCCAAACTGGGCCGCCCCCCTCCGAAACTCGGTGAAAAATAGGGCCAGGGAGTCGGTGCGGAGGTCATGGGCCGGGCCCAGGAGCCAAAGATCAAGTCTCTTCCGACTGACACGCACGACTGACGCGTTCGTACCTATAAGAAGCACCCGAAGAATCCTTAATCTCTCCATGGCAGGGGTCGGACCTTCTCCCTCTTCGCAGGGGGAAAAGGGCCCGGTTCCCAAACCCTATGTGTTGCTGAAGGGCCCGGAGTCTGAGAACCATGGGTGAAAAAGGACCAGAACCCGTACCTTACCCCCCCCTACAAGTCCAGTCTGACCCAGTAAAACCGGGTCTTTTACCTCCTTAAGTATTGGTTCTGTATGACCATCTCCAGTAAAATGAGGTCTTTGACTTGTAGGGCCCCCCAAAAAAGAGAGGCCAAAGGTCCGAATGGGTCGAGCTTCCGGGCCGTTCGGAAGTACGACTGGATCGAGACACCGGTTGGAATGACCTGACCTGCTCTAGAGCGGCCGGTCTTGGGCTGGTTTTTGGCCAGCCTTCCGGAGTGAATTCTGTCCCCGACCTCTCCGCACCGTCGCCACCCGTCGCCACCCGTCGCCGGCTCCTCGACCCGTCGCCACCAGCGCTTGCAACTCCGCAGCCTCTGCCGCCGTGGCGCGTCGTTCCAGCTCCTCTGACCCAGCTCCTTCCAAGGGACCCACGGACAACCCTATAATCACTGGGTCAGTGACTTTTGGACACCCCAGACAGGAAGCGCTAGGTTGGTAAAGCGTTTTCGAAGGACCCGACTGACCTGGTCTCACTCTCCGGGAGCTGCAAGTTCGGCGCATCTTCGGAAAGCTTTGAACAGATTTCCAGAAACATACAGTACGTGGCACCGAAAAAAAAATCTAGTCCCTGAAACCATGTTAACCGCTTGAACGTGAAAGAAGGATGAAAACGCGTGCGCTCTTTTTGCATGCATCCATGCGCCACAAGGGTCTTTTTTGGGATGCCATCCAGTTGATGATCCCATCCAGTTCTTTGTGGATGTGGATGCGATGTGATAGGGGGCACCCATGGATGATCCTCCGACTCCTATCCTCCATGAAGAGCACCCCCCCCGTCCTCCATGAAGAGCACTGCTGGGGGAACCCGCCCGGGACGCTCTGGGCCCGCCCGGCGCCGAAGAACCGCGATTGGCAGAGAGGGAGCAACCTGGGCGAGCAGCTGGACGCGCGGGACGAGCGGGACGAGCAGGAGGTCTGAAGGGAATCGCTTGAAAGACGTGTTTCACTGAGATTTGGGAGGTCTGGAATCCTGTGAAGAAATTTTAAACCTTTAGTAAAATAATGTTTCGAACATGAGACGAGTGAGTATTTAGTTATATTTAGTTCATGTTCGATAACAGCTTCACAGGTGCCCTGTCCTCTTTTATTTTTACCGAAGTCAAATGATGTCTTCTGGCCACATGGTCTTCTGGTCACCCGAAAAGGAACTGTATACTTTCAATATGTGAAAGATGTGAAAGGTCTATACCTGGACCCTCCTGTCGGGGTGTCCTGGCTGGACTACCCCACACTACCGGCCTAGGCTTCCAGACAGGGCACCCCTTGGAGGGTCCTGGTAGTCGGACTTTCCAGGTACCAAAAAGTCACATGTGAATGGAGTTGGGTGGTGTGGCTCCTCCGTAACTCCTCCGGGGCTGTGGATGTGATGTGGTTCTTGGGCACCCCTTATTCTACCTCCGTTAAGAGAACCGGCACCCCAGCACCGAGACTCTCCTCTGTGACGCCTGGTAGAAACACATCGTTGAGACCGGTCGGTGGCTCAAGCACTCCCCGAGCCAAGCCGCGTTCGAGCCAAACCATGTCCGTTCCACTCGCCGCTCTCCTGCCTCGGACGGTCGTCATCGCGGATCAAAAGGCCAACGTGCACGGCGTTTCTGTGGTTTTTTGGGGGTGGCAACGGGGGGTCCGGTTTTCGCAAGGGGTGGCCCGGGGGTGGCCCTGATGGAAGGGGTGTGTGTGTGTGTCCACCCCTGGACAAAGGGTTTTCCACCGCTACT